CCTTCTCAGGGGGGGACAATAGAAATCATTGAATCTCTGGGGAAACATTCCCAGGGGGACAATTATCGTTCGGGACCAACAAATTATCGGGGGGGGGGAATACATTGTAACATGACAACAACATGGGGGGATACATTGTATCACGACAACATGGGGGACATTTCAGGGGGGGGGGGGAATACATTGTAACATGACAACATGGGGGACATTTCAGGGGGGGGATTGAATACATTGTAACATGACAACATGGGGGACATTTCAGGGGGGGGGGATACATTGTAACATGACAACATGGGGGATATTTGGGGGGGGGGGAATACATTGTAACATGACAACATGGGGACATTTCAGGGGGGGGGGATACATTGTAACATGACAACATGGGGGACATTTCAGGGGGGGGGGGGAATACATTGTAACATGACAACATGGGGGGACATTTCAGGGGGGGGGGAATACATTGTAACATGACAACATGGGGACATTTCAGGGGGGGGGGGGGGGGGGAATACATTGTAACATGACAACATGGGGGACATTTTCAGGGGGGGGGGGGGATACATTGTAACATGACAACATGGGGGACATTTCAGGGGGGGGGGGAATACATTGTAACATGACAACATGGGGGACATTTCAGGGGGGGGATACATTGTAACATGACAAACATGGAGGGACATTTCAGGGGGGGGGGGGGGAATACATTGTAACATGACAACATGGGGGACATTTTCAGGGGGGAGGGGGAATACATTGTAACATGACAACATGGGGGACATTTCGGGGGGGGGAATACATTGTAACATGACAACCCACATTTTTGGGGGATGGATACATTGTAACATGACAACATGGGGGACATTTCAGGGGGGGGGGGGGGGGAATACATTGTAACATGACAACATGGGGGACATTTCAGGGGGAGGGGGGAAATACATTGTAAACATGACAACATGGGGGGACATTTTCAGGGGGGGGGGGGGTAAATACATTGTAACATGACAACATGGGGGACATTTCAGGGTGGGAAGACTTTTGCATGGGCATGGGGGGACATAAATCAGGGGGGGGAGGGGACCTCATTGGCTAACATGACAATGGGGGGAATTTCATGGGGGAACCTTCCCAGGGGGGGACACATTGTCGTTGGCTCCAACATGGGGGCATTTATCAGGGGGGGGGGATGGGAATACATTGTACATGACACAACATGGGGGGGGGGAATACATTGTAACACGTGACACACATGGGGACATTTCAGGGGGGGGGGAATACATTGTAACATGACAACATGGGGGGACATTTCAGGGGGGGGGGGGGGAATACATTGTAACATGACAACATGGGGGGGGGGAGGAATACATTGTAACATGACAACATGGGGGACATTTCAGGGGGGGGGGGATACATTGTAACATGACAACATGGGGGACATTTCAGGGGGGGGGGGGGAATACATTGTAACATGACAACATGGGGGGACATTTCAGGGGGGAGGGGAATACATTGTAACATGACAACATGGGGGACATTTCAGGGGGGGGGGATACATTGTAACATGACAACATGGGGGACATTTTGGGGGGGAGGGGGATACATTGTAACATGACAACATGGGGGACATTTTGGGGGGGGGGGGAATACATTGTAACATGACAACATGGGGGACATTTCAGGGGGGGGGGAAATACATTGTAACATGACAACATGGGGGACATTTTGAATTTCAGGGAGGGGGATACATTGTAACATGACAACTGGGGGGACATTTCAGGGGGGGGGGAATACATTGTAACATGACAACATGGGGGACATTTCAGGGGGGGGGGGAATACATTGTAACATGACAACATGGGGGACATTTCAGGGGGGGGGAGGGGGGGAATACATTGTAACATGACACAACATGGGGGACATTTCGGGGGGGGGGGGGGATACATTGTAACATGACAACATGGGGGACATTTCAGGGGGGGGGGAATACATTGTAACATGACAACATGGGGACATTTCAGGGGGAGGGAGGGGGATACATTGTAACATGACAACATGGGGAAAACATTTCAGGGGGGGGGGAATACATTGTAACATGACAACATGGGGGACATTTCAGGGGGGGGGGAAAATACATTGTAACATGACAACATGGGGGACATTTCACGGGGGGATGGGGATTTTGTAACATGACGCTGGGTCATTTCATCAGGGGATGAGACATCTCCGGCTCCGACAATAGAAATCAGAGAATCTTGCCAGGTGAGGACCTTCCCAGGGGACAATTATCGTTCGGGGTGACAAATTATTCGGGGGGGGGGGGAATACATTGTAACATGACAACATGGGGGACCATTTCGGGGGGGATACATTGTAACATGACAACATGGGGGACATTTCAGGGGGGGGGGAATACATTGTTACATGGGGACAACATGGGGGGGGGATACATTGTAACATGACAACATGGGGGACATTTCAGGGGGGGGGGGATACATTGTAAACATGACAACATGGGGGACATTTCAGGGGGGGGGGGAATACATTGTAACATGACAACATGGGGGACATTTCAGGGGGGGGAGGGGGGAATACATTGTAACATGACAAACATGGGGGACATTTCAGGGGGGGGGGGGGGAATACATTGTAACATGACAACATGGGGGACATTTTGGGGGGGATACATTGTAACATGGACAACATGGGGGACATTTTGGGGGGGGATTACATTGTAACATGACAACAACATGGGGGACATTTTGGGGGGGAGGGGATACATTGTAACATGACAACATGGGGGACATTTGGGGGGGGGGATACATTGTAACATGACAACATGGGGGGACATTTTGGGGGGGGGGGGATACATTGTAACATGACAACATGGGGGACATTTCAGGGGGGGGGGGGTACATTGTTAACATGACAACATGGTGGACATTTCAGGGGGGGGGGATACATTGTAACATGACAACATGGGAGACATTTCGGGGGGTCGGGGGGGATTACATTGTAACATGACAACATGGGGGGACATTTCGGGGGGGGGATACATTGTAACATGACAACATGGGGGACATTTCAGGGGGTGGGGATACATTGTAACATGACAACATGGGGGGGACATTTCAGGGGGGGGGGCATACATTGTAACATGACAACATGGGGGGACATTTCAGGGGGGGGATACATTGTAACATGACAACATGGGGGACATTTCAGGGGGGAATACATTGTAACATGACAACATGGGGGACATTTCAGGGGGGGGGGGAATACATTGTAACATGACAAACATGGGGACATTTCACGGGTGTGAAGACTTTTGCAAGGCGCTGTAGTTGTCATAAATCAGGTGGATGAGAACCTCTCCGGCTCCGACAATAGAAATCAGAGAATCTCTGCCCTGAGAACCTTCCCAAGGTGACAATTATCGTTCGGCTCCAACAAATTATCGGCTTAAAGTGACACTCGGCACCCGGGGGGGGATAAATGCTTCTAACGCACACAGGAGCCGCCTCCGTCGCTCCGAGCGCCTCGTAAAACATGAACACACAGCGAAAAGGTAAACGGCGACTACGGCCACCCTAAGAGGAGCGAATGTCGCAAAAAAAAAAGTGAAAAAAGTGAAAGTGTGGGGGGTGTAAAAAAGTGTGGGAAATGTTCAAAAGACAGTTTCATGTCACCCCTATGATCTCTGGAGGAAATTAGAAAATGAACCGAGGAATCTGATTGGACGGTGACGTTCTCCCATCATTCCCTATCAGTTCCCACCATTTTGTTGTTCTCATAGTGGCAGTTAAAGCCGAACAGCCAGTGAATGATTACCGAGGTGGCAGTTAACTATTCAGTGATCTCACTTTCCTAGTCCAGGGTTGTCCCCTTTTTGTTCCGGCCCCCTGCATTTAACCCATTGTTAGCCAGCAGGCCTTCCCAGACCCGGCTCCTGTATACTGGGGCAGGTATGCAGGGTGCGTGGCCCCGGGTGCAGGCCGGCTTTGATCTGTGGGAGGAAATCTGATTTCTTCAGGGAAGGAGCCCTCGGGGTGTACAGGACCAGTAATTACAGGTGTCAGTCCGCGCGCTTGTGGCCTCTGTGCGCAATGCGAGAACCATGAGAAAAATATATATATAAATTGTTTCCTCTCTTTTGAGGTCAGGATTAAGTGGATGAACTTAAAATAAATAATTTTATTTATTGTATATATATATATATATATATATTATATATTATATATATAGTATATAAATAAATAATTTATAATATTATTTTTTTGGATTTGAGGTTTGAGTAAATGAACTAAAAGAAAAAAGAAATTTATATTTATATATATATATTATATATATATATATATATATATTATATTTTTTTTTTTTTTTTTTTTTTTTTAGTTATTATTATTTATTTAATTTTTTATTTTTTTTTTTTATTTGTCCCCCTTGAGGTAATGTTTAAATAGCTAAACTTAAAAAAAATATAAATAAATAAATATATATTTTTTTTTTTTTTTTTTTTGGGGGGGGGGGGGGGGAGGTAAGGTTTGAGTAGATGAACTAAAAACAAAAACAAAAAATTTCTAGAAAATATATATATATATTTTTTCTTCGTTTTTAAGGTCAGTTTTAAAGTAATTGTATATGAGCTAAAAAATATATAATTTATATATATATATATATATATATATTATATATATATATATATATATAATAAACATCTTTTTTCTTGAGGTCAGGTTTTAAGTAGATAAATGAAATATAAAAGAAAAATACATATATATTTATTTTAATTTTGAGATCAGGTTTCAGTAGATGAGCTAAAATATATATATCATGCACAGGTGTACTAACTCCTCCCCTTCATTCTTGCACAGGTGTCCCGACTCCTCCCCTTCAGTCTTGCACAGGTGTACCAACTCAACTCCTCCCCTTCATTCTTGCACAGGTGTGTCCCGACTCCTCCTCCCTTCATTCTCGCACAGGTGTACTAAATCCTCCCCTTATAAAGGTTTTACCCGACTTCTTGCACAGGTGTCCCGACTCCTCCCCTTCAGTCTCGCACAGTGGTGTATATTAAATTCCCCTTAATTTTTGCACAGGTGTCCCGAATCCTCCCCTTCAGTCTTGCACAGGTGTACCAGCTCCTGCCCTTCAGTTTTGCACAGGTTACTTGCTCCTCCCCTTCAGTCTTGCAGAGGTGTACCGGCTCCTCCCCTTCAGTCTTGCACAGGTGTAGACTCCTCCCCTTTTTTAGTCTTGCACAGGTGTACCGGCTCCTCTTCTTTCCCCTTCAGTCTTGCACAGGTTTGTACCGGCTCCTCCCCTTCAGTCTTTGCACAGGTGTTACCAACTCCTCCCCTTCAGTCTTGCACAGGTGTACCGGCTCCTCCCCTTCGGTCTTGCACAGGTGTAACCGGCTCCTCCCCTTCCGCCTTGCACAGTTTTAGAATCAGGTATACCGTCTCCTCCCCTTCTGTCTTGCACATTGTACAATGTGCATTAGAAACTGCAGCCAGTCAGATAGAGCTCGCCGCCTCCTTTCCTAGCTAGAGGACACCCAATCATTTCTAGCACTTTCCTCCCCAGTCTTACTGTCCCTTTCTTTCATTGGAATTTTGTTTCAGACAATGGAGGCTCAGTATTGCTATGTGGATGCTACCTATGCAAATTAATCCTGTCCCCAGCAGCAAACAAACAGATTTCCCAGCAACCAGCTACAATAGACCCCCCTTTTAACAGTAGATACCTCCCAACAACAATAGATCCACCCCAACAATAACCCCCCCGCAGCAACAACAGATTTCCCAGCAGCCAGCAACAATAAACCCCTCCCTCAACAGTAGATCCCTCCCGACAAACAATAGATCCACCCCAACAATAAAAATATTTTTAATTTAGCAACAGCAGATTTCTCAGCAGCCAGCTACAATAGACCCTTATCAAAAAGTAACTCCCTCCCAACATTCAATAGATCCACCCCAACAATAATCACCCCGGCAGCAAAATTTTTAACAGATTTCCCAGCAGCCAGCAACAATAAAAATGGCTCCCCTCAACAGTAGATCCCTCCCGACAACAATAGATCCACCACAACAATAATCACCCCCAGCAGCAACAACAGATTTCTCAGCAGCCAGCAACAATAGACCCCTCCCTCAACAGTAGATCACTCCCAGCAACAATAGATCCATCCAAACAATAATAACCCCCAGCGGCAACAACAGATTTCCCAGCAGCTAGCAACAATAGACCCCTCCCTCAAAAAGTAGATCAATCCCAGCAACAATAGATCCATCCCAACAATAATCACCCCCTGCAGCAACAACAGATTTCCCAGCAGCCAGCTACAATAGACCCCTCCCTCAACAGTAGATCACTTCCAAGCAACAATAAATCCATCCCAACAATAATAACCCCCAGCAGCAACAACAGATTTCCCAGCAGTCAACTTCAACCAACTCTCCAGCAATAAAAGTCCCCACCCTCTCAAGAAACAAGCAGATCCCTCCAGCAAATTTATGACCCCCTGGAAACATAAGGCACCCTTAGCAACAATAGAGCCCCCACCAGAAAAACTATAGACCCCCCCCAGCGACAATAGATTGATTGTTTACTAATAAAATCTGTAAACGATTAATAGGTCAGACTTCGATCACAGCATGTTCTATGGCTTGGACCTAAGAAATGGTTCAGGGGGGTCGTTCACGCCGAGATCTGGTGATTCGGGAAGGCAAAGCCTAAGAGACAAAACTTTTTTTTTTTCCCTTGTAGGTTTGCACCCAAAACATGATCTGAAATCCCATCCTGTAGATCCTGTAGGAAGAAAAAAATGTCATTTGAAGCGCCAGACCACAGCTAAAATGATTCCACCAAAGGACATGGGGTACGAGCAGGCCCGGCATTTTCCCAGTGGGGCGGGGCCACCAGGTCACATGGCATTTTGGGGTCCAAAACTGTTCCCTTCATCAGGGCTAAAAAAAACATAAGAACATCTACTTATAGTAGAACTATAGGCAAACTGGGGAGGGGACGGGAAGGACTATAGGGGGGGTTCTATAGTTTCTAATGTTTAATATTTATTTGTTGCTGGGTTTAGGGATTGTTTCCAGGGGTTTATTGTTGCTGGCTGCTGTCTTATGTTTCTTGCGGGGGGGTTTTAATTTGTTGCTGGGTGGATTATTGGGATCTTTACTGTTGAGGAGGGGTTTATTGTTGCTGGCTTTTTGGAGGGTTTATTGAAGTTCACTGATGGAAAATCTGTTGTTGCTGCCGGGGGTTTTTAATGTAGGGCTGAATCTATTATTGCTGGGTGGATCTATTGTTGCTGGGAGGAATCTACTATTGAGGGAGGGGTTCTATTGTTGCTGGCTGCTGGAGGGTTTCTTGAAGTTCACTGCTGGGAAATCTGTGGTTGCTGTCGGGGGTTCTTAATGTTGGGGTGAATCTATTATTGCTGGGTGGCTATATTTATTGCTGGGAGGAATCTACTGTTGCTGGGGGTTCTATAGTTTCTGGTGGGGGTTCTATTGTTTCCAGGAGTGTCTTATGTTTCTAGGAGGTCATTTGTTGCTAGGAGGGATCTACTGTTGAGGGAGGGGTCTATTGTTGCTGGCTCCTGGAGAACTATTGAAGTTCACTGCTGGAAAATCTGTTGTTGCTGCCGGGGGTTATTAATATTGGGTGAATCTATTATTGCTGGGAGGAATCTACTGTTGAGGGAGGGGGTTATTGTTGCTGGGGGGGGGTTCCTATAGTTTCTGGTAGGGGTTCTATTGTTGCTAGGGGTGTTTTATGTTTCTAGGGGGTCATTTGTTGCTGGGAGAGATCTACTGTTGAGGGAGGGGTTTATTGTTGCTGGGGGTTCTATAGTTTCTGGTGGGGGTTCTATTGTTTCCAGGGGTGTCTTATGTTTCTAGGGGGTCATTTGTTGCTGGGAGGGATCTACTGTTGAGGGAGGGGTCTCTTGTTGCTGGCTCCTGGAGGGTTTATTGAAGTTTGCTGCTGGGAAATCTGTTGTTGCTGCCGGGGGTTATTAATGTTGGGGTGGACCTATTGTTGTTGGGGTGGATCTCTTGTTGTTTGGAGGGATCTACTGTTGAGGGAAGGGTTTATTGTTGCCGGTTGCTGTGAAATCTGTTGTTGTTGCCGGGGGTTATTATTGTTAGGGTAGACCTTTTGTTGTTCGGTGGATCTATTGTTGCTGGGATAGATCTTTTGTTACTGGGGGTTCTATCATTTCTGGTGGGGGTTCTATTGTTGCTAGGGGTGTCTTATGTTTCTAGGGGTGTCTTATGTTTCTAGGGGGGTCATTTGTTGCTGGGAGGGATCTACTGTTGAAGGGGGGGGGCTCTATTGTTGCCAGCTGCTGGAAAATCTGTTGTTGCTGCGGGGGGTTATTATTGTTGGGGTGGTACTATTGTTGCTGGAAGGGATCTACTGTTGAGGGAGGAGTCTATTGTTGTGGCTGCTGGAGGATTTATTAATGTTGGCTGCTAGGAAATCTTTTGTTGTTGGCGTCGATTTATTGTCGTTGGGGTGAATCTATTGTTGCTGGGAGGGATCTACTGTTGAGGGAGGGGTCTATTGTTGTGGCTGCTGGAGGATTTATTAATGTTGGCTGCTGGGAAATGTTTTCTTGCTGGCGGGAGTTATTGTTATTGGGCTGGATCTATTGTTGCTGGGGGCAGGAGTTGTTGGTATTGGGTGGATCTATTGTTACTGGGGGGAGTCTATTGTTGCAGGGGGGATATCCCATGTGGTAGATCCAAAGAGGACCGTACAATCCGGCCATAGACGGAGCGGCGGGGGGAAGCCGACCCCGCTGGGAGAACAGCCACTAGCAATAATCGCATATAAAATCTGGCAGGTGGGTAGTATGCAGGTCGATCGATCGACCAACTTGGGTACATTCAGCCTGACCATACATCGTTCAAATGTCGGCCGGATGCTGCTGAGCCGTCTATTCGTCTATGGCCGACAAGCAGCACTACAGTATATGTGGCCTGCGGGGGGAGCTGCTCTATGAACCAAAAATTGCTACATGGGATCTAATCTTTTTTTTCTAGGAGGGATTTTTTTACCCCCTGAAACGCGTAGCTGGAGCTCCAAAACGCTTGAGGAGCAAAAAATCTATTATTCTCAATAGAACCGGTTCACATCTCTCCACTCCCAGTCGCCTGAAGCCAAACGCCTGCAGCCTCAAGCAAGCAATTTGAGCTTTTTTGTAGCTCAAATTGGGCAGATTGGCGCGTTTTGGGTGCATTTTTTATTCCCATAAAAATGAATGGAAATGTGCGATTTGCACATTTTAGCACACTTTTCTGTTCAAATGAAATTTTTTTTAAAAAAAATATAGTAATAATATATGAATAAATAGGTATAAAAATAATAATACACAAATGAATCATCATAAATAAATGTATAATATGTGGTAATAAATAAAATAATTCACCCCTAACCTTAACCCCCTAACCCTAAAGAAAAAAATAAATTATAACAAAAAAATAAATGAATAATAATATTTATTAATGTATTTGTTTTAGGGTTAGGGTGTTTATTATTATTATTTTTTATTATTTATTAACATTATTAATAATAATAATTTATATTTCTTTTAAGGGTTAGGGGTTGATTATTATTTATTTAATATTACATTGTATTCATGTATTATATTTTTTTGTTATTTATTTTAGGATTATTTTTATTTGTGCATTTAGTTTTAATTGTGTATTTATTCATTTTTTTTAATTATTATTATTATTGATAAAAATTAATATATTTGTTTTAGGGTTAGGGTGTTTATTATTTTAGTACTATTATTATTATTACTAATAATAATGTATTTTGTTTTTTAGGGTTAGGGTGTTTATTTATTATTTTATTATTATTAATATTAACTTTATTATTATTATTTTATTTTATAATTTATTTTTCTTTTAAGGGGTAGGAGTTAATTATTATTTATTTATTTAATATTACATAGTATTCATAGATTGTATTTGTTTATTTATGATTATTTTTATTTATTTGTGCATTTATTTTAAATGTATTTATTCATTTTATTATTATTATTATTATTATTATTATTATTATTATTATTATTAATAATATTAATAATTTTCTTTTTCTTTTAAGGGTTAGGGGTTAATTATTATTTATTTAATATTACATAGTATTCATGTATTGTATTTGTTTATTATTTAAATATGATTATTTTTATTTATTTGTCCGTTTATTTTAAATGTATTTATTCATTTTGTTTATGATTATTAATAATAATAATAATAATAAATAATAATAATGTATTATTATTATTATTATTTGTTTTAGGGTTAGGGTGTTTATTCACTATTTTATTATTATTATTTGTATTTATTCATTTTTTTATTATTATTATTATTATATTATTATTATTATTATTATTAATAATACATTATTATTATTATTTGTTTTAGGGTTAAGGTGTTTATTTTATTATTATTATTATTATTATTTGTAATATTATTTTTTAATTTTTTATTATTATTATTATAATAATACATTATTATTATTTGTTTTAGGGTTCGGGTGTTTTATTCATTATTTATTATTATTATTATTTGTATTTATTCATTTTTTAATTATTATTATTAATAATACATTATTATTATTATTATTATTTGTTTTAGGGTTAGGGTGTTTATTCATTATTTTTTTTATTATTATTATTATCATTATTATTATTATTATTTGTATTTATTCATTTTTTGTATTATTATTATTAATAATAATACATTATTATTATTATTACTTGTTTTAGGGTTAGGGTGTTTATTCATTATTTTTTATTATTATTATTATTATTTGTATTTATTTTTTTTATATTATTATTATTATTATTATTATTATTATTATATATTAATAATACATTATTATTATTTGTTTTAGGGTTAGGGTGTTTATTCATTATTTTTATTATTTTATTATTATTATTATTATTATTATTTTATTTGTATTTATTCATTTTTTGTATTATTATTATTAATAATAATACATTATTATTATTATTACTTGTTTTAGGGTTAGGGTGTTTTTCATTATTTTTATTATTATTATTATTAGTATTATTTGTATTAATTTTTTTATTATTATTATTATTATTATTAATAATATTATATATTATTATTATTTGTTTCAGGGTTAGGGTTTTATTATTTATTATTATTATTATTATTATTATTCATGTTATTTTATTCATTTTTTTTTTATTATTATATATTAATAATAATAATAATACATTATTATTATTATTATTTGTTTTAGGGTTAGGGTGTTTTATTCATTATTTTATTTTTTTATTATTATTAATAACGTTATTATTTAATAATAATTAATAATAATAATAAATTATTATTCTTTCTTTTAAGGGTTAGGGGTTAATTATTATTTATTTAAATATTACATAGTATCATGTATTGTTATTTATTTATGATTATTTTTATTTATTTGTGCGTTTATTTTGAATGTATTTATTCAGTTTTTTATTATTATTATTATTATTATTATTATTATTTTTATTAACATAACTCTAACAAAAAAAATAAATAATTAAATAAATAGATAAGGAGACAATAAATAAAATATGAACCCCTACCCCCAAACCCCAACCCCTAATCCTAACCTTAACCCCAACCGTAACTCTAACCTCTTACCCTAACAGAAAAATAAATAAATAAAAAATCCTTAAACAAACGAAAACCAAGAACGCTCCTCCAATTCTCTGCTCTCCAGTGTGAACGCGGCCCCACTAAAACAATGTTTTTCACCGACAATCTGAATTCTTCTGGACCCTTTGAAGCTGACATCTGGTCCAAAGACGTGTGAATGTTGTGAATCACCCAGAAGCCCTCATTTTGCTGCTTTATAGATGATCCCGAGGCATATATAACCTTCAGTTTGCAGCGTCTGTCCTTCAATTACCGCCCCCCATGATCAGAGATTCCCCGGCTGTGCCGGCGTCTTCCCCATCCCATTCTGTTCTCAACCATTCCTGAGCTCTGTATTCAGCCCCCATAATTTACACACAACAGTCTAGAATCCGATGTTTATGGCCGCCGTGGCGTCTTATCGATGATGTTTTGTCTCTGGAATTTTTTGACGCCTTATGTTTTGTAAGAGGAATTCATGACATTTTGTTCTCCCAGTCCTGTTGTTAAGTGGACCTGTCACCTACACGTGGAAGCCTCAGATAGGAACGCGAGTCGGGTCCCAGATGTCGGAACTGGGACTGACGTGGGCAGGAGGCTCTTCTTGTGACCCTCTATTCCAGGGTAACCCCTGCTAAAGCCAACTCATCTGGAGTCAATGGGTCCCTTACATTGGTGGTCAGTGGGAAGAATGTCCCTTACATTTGGGGGTCAGTGGGAAGAATGTCCCCTTACATTGGTGTGTCAGTGGGATAGATGTCCCTTACATTGGGGTCAGTGGGAAGAAATGTCCCTTACATTGGTGGTCAGTGGGAAGAATGTCCCCTTACATTGGTGGGTCAGACGGGCAAGAATGTCCCTTACATTGGTGGTCAGCGGGAAGAATGTCCCTTACATTGGGGTCAGTAAGAAGAATGTCCCTTACATTGGAGGTCAGTGGGAAGAATGTCCCTTACATTGGTGGTCTTTGGGGAAGAATGTCCCTTACATTGGGATCAGTGGGAAATGTCCCTTACATTGGGGGTCAGTGGGAAGAATGTCCCTTACATTCGTGTATCAGTGGGAAGAATGTCCCTTACATTGGAGTCAGTGGAAGATGTCCCTTACATTGCGTGGTCAGTGAAAATGTCCTTACATTGGGGGTGTCATGGGAAGTATGTCCCTTACATTGGTGAAGTGGAAGAATGTTCCGTACATGGGGGTCAGTGGGAAGAATGTCCCTTACATTGGTGGTCAGTGGGGAAGAATGTCCCTTACATTGGGAGTGGTCAGTGGGAAAGAATGTCCCTTTCTTGGTGATCAGTGGGAAGAATGTCCCTTACATTGGGAGTCAGTGGGAAGAATGTCCCTTACATTGGTGGATCAGTGGAAATGTCCCTTACATTGGTGATCAGTGGGCTTAGAATGTCCCTTACAATTGGGGATCAGGGGGAAGAATGTCCCCTACATTGGTGGTCAGTGGGGAAGAATGTCCCTTACATTGGTGATCATTGTCCCCCTTACATTGGGGGAGTCAGTGGGAAGAAATGTCCCTTACATTGGGGGTCAGTGGGAAGAATGTCCCTTACATTGGGGGACAGTGGGAAGATTGTCCCCTTCCATTGGTGGTCATGGGAAGAATGTCCCTACATTGGTGATCAGTGGGAAGAATGTCCCTTACATTGGTGGTCAGTGGGAAGAATGTCCCTTACATTGGTGGTCAGTGGGAAGAATGTCCCTTACATTGGGGTCATGTGGGAAGAATGTTTGCTCCCTTACATTGGTGGGTCAGTGGGAAGAATGTCCCCTTACATTGGGGTCAGTGGGAAGAATGTCCCTTTACATTGGGGGTCAGTGGGAAGAAATGTCCCTTACATTGGTGGTCAGTGGGAAGAATGTCCCTTACATTGGTGGTCAGTGGGAAGAACAGTGGGGAAGAATGTCCCGTACATTGGAGGTCAGTGGGAAGAATGCCCCTTACATTGGTGGTCAGTGGGAAGAATGTCCCGTACATTGGGGGTCAGTGGGAAGAACGCCCCTTACATTGGGGGTCAGTGGGAAGAATGTCCCTTACATTGGTGGTCAGTGAGAAGAATGGCCCTTATGGTGGTCAATGGGAAGAATGTCCCTTACATTGGGGGTCAGTGGGAAGAATGTCCCTTACATTGGTGATCAGTGGGAAGAATGTCCCTTACATTGGTGATCAGTGGGAAGAATGCTCCTTACATTGGTGGTGGTCAGTGGGGAAGAATGTCCCTTACATTGGTGGGTCAGTGAGAAGAATGGCCCTTATGGTGGTCAATGGGAAGAATGTCCCTTACATTGGCGGTCAGTGGGAAGAATGTCCCTTACATTGGTGATCAGTGGGAAGAATGCTCCTTACATTGGTGGTCAGTGGGAAGAATGTCCCTTACATTGGTGGTCAGTGAGAAGAATGGCCCTTATGGTGGTCAATGGGAAGAATGCTCCTTACATTGGTGGTGGTCAGTGGGAAGAATGTCCCTTACATTGGGGGTCAGTGGGAAGAATGTCCCTTACATTGGTGATCAGTGGGAAGAATGCTCCTTACATTGGTGGTCAGTGGGAAGAATGTCCCTTACATTGGTGGTCAGTGGGAAGAATGTCCCTTACATTGGTGATCAGTGGGAAGAATGCTCCTTACATTGGTGGTCAGTGGGAAGAATGTCCCTTACATTGGGTCAGGAAGAATGTCCCTTACATTGGGGGGTCAGTGGGAAGAATGTCCCTTACATTGGTGGTCAGTGGGAAGAATGTCCCTTACATTGGAGGTCAGTGGGAAGAATGTCCCTTACATTGGGGGTCAGTGGGGAAGAATGTCCCTTACATTGGTGGTCAGTGAGAAGAATGTCCCTTACATTGGTGATCAGTGGGAAGAATGTTCCTTACATTGGGGGTCAGTGGGAAGAATGTCCCTTACATTGGGGGTCAGTGGGAAGAATGTCCCTTACATTGGGGGTCAGTGGGAAGAATGTCCCTTACATTGGTGATCAGTGGGAAGAATGTCCCTTACATTGGGGGTCAGTGGGAAGAATGTCCCTTACATTGGTGGTCAGTGAGAAGAATGTCCCTTACATTGGGGGTCAGTGGGAAGAATGTCCCTTACATTGGGGTCAGTGGGAAGAATGTCCCTTACATTGGTGGTCAGTGAGAAGAATGTCCCTTACATTGGGGGTCAGTGGGAAGAATGTCCCTTACATTGGGTGTCAGTGGGAAGAATGTCCTCCCCCTTATTTTGGTGGTCAGAATACCATCCTTAAAGAATGCTGCTGGCTTTGCCAAGTGGCATTGGTCCTGGTGGTCTGCGCACAAAATAAAAAAGGAGGTCAATCAGCCACAGCGCAAGGAACCCCTCCATTCAAAAGAATATCTGTAGTCCCTTTCACTCGTGGTGTGCCTTTAAGCCGAGCCTGGCGATGGATTGACAATATTTTTCCTAAATGGTGCCTCCCTTTAGCAGCACCCTTCCTATCTTCTAGCATAGGACCATTCCCAAACCTTGGAACTTGACATTTGAAAGGTTTCTTCCCCAGGCAGCAGACCTCTTCTTGAGCTACCCTATCCCTGAGCAGTAGGTGTCTTCTTGAGCTACCGCCCCCCCCCCCCCCCCAAGCAGTAGGTCTCTTCTTAAGCGATCTCCTCCATGGGCAGTAGGCCTCTTCTTGAGCTACCTCCTCCCTGAGCAGTAGGCCTCTTCTTGAGCTACCTCCTCCCTGAGCAGTAGACCTCTTCTTGAGCTACCTCCCACCAAGCACTAGGTCTCTTCTTGAGCTTCTTGGGCAGTAGGCCTCATTTTGAGCTACAACCTCCCCAAGCAGTAGGCCTCTTCTTGAGCTACCTCCTCCCCAAGCATTAGGCCTCTTCTTGAGCTACCTTCTCTCCAAGCTGTAAGCATCTTCTTGAGCTACCTACTCCTCCCCAGGAAATAAACCTCTTCTTGAGCTACCACCTCCCAAGCAGTAGGTCTCTTCTTGAGCGACCTCCTACATGGGCAGTAGGCCTCTTCTTGAGCTACCTCCTCCCTGAGCAGTAGACCTCTTCTTGAGCTACCTCCTCCCCAAGCAGTAGGCCTCTTCCTGAGCTACCTCCTCTTCAAGCTGTAAGCCACTTCTTGAGCTACCTCCTCCCCAGGAAATAGACCTCTTCTTGAGCTTCCTCCTCTCCAAGCAGTAGGTCTCTTTTTGAGCGACCTCCTCCATGGGCAGTAGGCCTCTTCTTGAGCTACCTCCTCCCTGAGCAGTAGGCCGCTTCTTGAGCTACCTCCTCCCTGAGCAGTAGACCTCTTCTTGAGCTACCTCCCACCAAGCACTAGGTCTCTTCTTGAGCTTCTTGGGCAGTAGGCCTCATTTTGAGCTACCTCCTCTCCAAGCAGTAGGCCTCTTCTTGAGCTACCTTCTCTCCAAGCTGTAAGCCTCTGCTTGAGCTACCTACTCCCCAGGAAGTAGACCTCTTCTTGAGCTACATCCTTGTCAAGCTGTAGGCCTCTTCTTGAGCTACCTCCTCCCCAAGCAGTAGGCCTCTTCTTGAGCTACCTCCTCCCCAAACTGTATGCCTCTTCTTGAGCTACCTCCTCCCCAGGACGTAGGACTCTCCTTGAGCTACCTCCTCCCCGGGCAGTAGGCCTGGGAGGGAAAGTCTTCCCCAGGCAAAGCTTGAGAGGCTAAGGCCCCTTCTAGGAGGTCTCCCCAAGTATGTATCTCCTTCCCTTGCTTAACTCACTGGAAATAAACCTCCTAGTGATTTGCCAGTGAGATAGATATGCATAACCCATTACATGGTATCTTCTTGCTCTATCTCCTGGAGAACATTCCCCAGGTGCAGACACCCAGCAAATGCAGAAAACAATAACAATCAGAGCCCAGGCTGACTACGGCTAGAAGCTCACTAAACTTGATATAGGGACACTCCAGGTTATGGCCAGGTCCCTATACTGTCAATTGTATGAGATGCAGAGGGGGCAGGAGGAACCTGTGGCCTTCTAGGGTCCTACATACTCACTTTTCACCATCTCTGTGTATGATGGTGCTCAAACTATATGATACCCACCTTTTTTGTGAGACCTTTTGTTGAGTAAAACACAGATGGTGCACATTTCTTGTGGTATGATACATTGACTATGTTCACCAGCCAACTACTCCTACACAGAACCTCAGGCAGGCTACACCTAATGTCTATACTTGTGTGCGCATTCCAATAAAACCACCACCTTCCCACAGAAATCTCATTGATGCCTAATGCTAGCCTGATGCCACAATAATGCTTCCTCTGTGTTTGGTGGACACCAACAAGCCCTGCAGTGCCAACATCGGTGGCCCTTCCCACCTCTATGTTTTGGCTCCTATTTATGAAGTAGCTCTAAACTGAATCAAGTTCTCAACATCTTGGTTGCTGATAGTCTTGCTGGATTTTTCCATTGATTTATAAAGCATCAATCTGCAGGAAGGTAACCTAGAAATACAGAAAATAATTTTCAGGTCTTGTTGAACCCTTCCTAAAACCAATAGAGCTGGGAGCAAGTGGGGAAAATGCCCTTTACATTGGTGGTCAGTGCGAAGAATGCAACCCTTACATTGGTGGTCAGTGCGAAGAATGCAACCCTTACATTGGTGGTCAGTGCGAAGAATGCAACCCTTGCATTGGTGGTCAGTGCGAAGAATGCAACCCTTACAGACAGCTATAAAATAATGGTGTCATGCTGCTAGTTTTGCCAAGTACCATTGGCCCTAGCCGGCACCATTGGCCCTAGCCGGCACCATGAAATAGTGAAGTCATTCAGCCACAGCTCAGGAGACCCCTAGAAAGCTCTGGAGGAACCCTGGATGAGAATGTCAGCTCTGCGTTATGGATAGACTAACAGCTTAGTCCTCATGCACACGGGACGTTTTTAACTCCCCTGGAAAACAGAAAATAGTTTTCAGGTCTCAGAGAACCCTTCCTACAACCAATAGAGCTGGGATCAAATGGGGAAAATACCCCTTACATTGGTGGTCAGTACGAAGAATGCCCCTTACATTGGTGGTCAGTACGAAGAATGCCCCTTACATTGGTGGTCAGTACGAAGAATGCCCCTTACATTGGTGGTCAGTGGGAAGAATGTCCCTTACATTGGTGATCAGTGGGAAGAATGTCCCTTACATTGGTGGTCAGTGGGAAGAATGTCCCTTACATTGGTGGTCAGTGGGAAGAATGTCCCTTACATTGGGGGTCAGTGGGAAGAATGTCCCTTACATTGGAGGTCAGTGGGAAGAATGTCCCTTACATTGGTGGTCAGTGGGGAAGAATGTCCCTTACATTGGGGGTCAGTGGGAAGAATGTCCCTTACATTGGAGGTCAGTGGGAAGAATGTCCCTTACATTGGGGGTCAGTGGGAAGAATGTCCCTTACATTGGGTCAGTGGGAAGAATGCCCCTTATATTGGTGGTCAGTGGGAAGAATGTCCCTTACATTGGTGGTCAGTGGGAAGAATGTCCCTTACATTGGTGATCAGTGGGAAGAATGTCCCTTACATTGGGGGTCAGTGGGAAGAATGCCCCTTATATTGGTGGTCAGTGGGAAGAATGTCCCTTACATTGGGGGTCAGTGGGAAGAATGTCCCTTACATTGGTGATCAGTGGGAAGAATGTCCCTTACATTGGGGATCAGTGGGAAGAATGTCCCTTACATTGGTGATCAGTGGGAAGAATGTCCCTTACATTGGGGATCAGTGGGAAGAATGTCCCTTACATTGGTGATCAGTGGGAAGAATGTCCCTTACATTGGAGGTCAGTGGGAAGAATGCAACCCTTAAAATGGTAGTCAGAATTCCACCCTTTCAGACAGCTATAAAATAATGGCGTCATGCTGCCGGTTTTGCCAAGTAGCATTGGCCCTAGCTGGCACCATGAGATAGTGAAGTCATTCAGCTACACTCGGGACCCCTAGAAAGCTCTGGAGGCAAAACTTGTTTGAGAATGTCAGAATGTCAGCTCTACATTATGGAGGGATTAACTGGATGAATGAATCCATTCTATAAATTCGTTTATTCTGGCCATTGGGATGAATAAACGCTCAATCGCTAAACGTGTCTAAATGCATTTGGAAAACGTGACTTTAGGTGCGTTTTTTTTAGGCTGCATTTTCCTGCCCTGGAGCAAAGGTGTCGAAACGTTCCGTGTGCAGGAGGCCTTCAGGTGATAGCTGTTATTATCAATGATTCTCGTATGATTTTTTACCTTTTTATCTTTTTTTTTTTTGCCTTTCTTTTACAGGGAGTGGAGATCAATGTCACGGGTCAAGGTCAGCCATGTTACACCTGCAAGGAACGCTGTCCAGGGTTTCTGGCACACCGATGGAGGTGGGTAAAACAACTGGGGCATCACATGTGAAATAAACCGTGGTACATTATTGGGTTCTTCCATTAGGCACTAGAGGGAGCTCTGGGTGGCTCAGTGAAATCCCTCTTTGTTTAGCGGGGGTTGAGATGAGATATCAGCCACCACACATGGAATGCATTGTTTTCAGTGGTTCAACCGATTTATAGAGTTGCATAGTAATAAGGAGCAGTAAACCATGCAAAGATAGATGCAAAGTGGACAAATATGGTTTCACTTGTAAACAGATACTTAGGACGTGTCATTTATTTTCCTTGAGGATTTCCCTCTGTGACTTCCCCTCTGTGACTGATGGATTTCCCTGGTCAAGAGAAAGCACATCAGTGTGAGGCATGGTGTGGTGCAGTTGAGAGAAGACCTGGATGTTGAGAGGTGGAGTTTTGGTTGAGAAAGTTGAGCCTTTCTTGACTAGGGTTCCTCCAGAAGTTGCTATGCGTTCCTAGAGTAATGAGCAGTTTCTCTCTTTATGACGTGCTGCCACTGGCTACAACAATCTTAGGTGTCTCTGAGGGGAGAATCCCCTTATTGGCTGCCAGTGTAAGGAGCATTTTTGCTAACTCTCCACCAGTGTGCCAGGGCCCTTCACTGACCATCAGTGTGCTAGGGTCCTTCACTGACCATCAGTGTGCTAAGGTTCTTCACTGACATCAGTGTGCTAAGATCCTTCACTGACCATCGGTGCTATGGTCCTTCACTGACCATCGGTGTGCTAGGGTCCTTCACTGACCATCGGTGTGCTAGGGTCCTTCACTGACCATCGGTGTGCTAGGGTCCTTCACTGACCATCGGTGTGCTAGGGTCCTTCACTGACCATCAGTGTGCTAAGGGTCCTTCACTGACCATCAGTGTGCTAAGGTCCTTCACTGACCATCAGTGTGCTAAGGTCCTTCACTGACCATCAGTGTGCTAAGGTCCTTCACTGACCATCAGTGTGCTATGGTTCTTCACTGACCATCAGTGTACTAGGATTCTTCAGTGACCATCAGTGTGCCAGTGTCCTTCAGTGACCATCAGTGTGCTAAAGTCCTTCACAGACCATCAGTGTACTAGGGTCCTTCACTGACCATTGCGTGCTAAGATCCTTCACTGACCATCAGTGTAATAGGATTCTTCATTGACCATCAGTGTGCTAAGGTCCTTAACAGACCAGCAGTGTACTAGGGTCCTTTACTGACTCTCAGTGTACTAGGACCCTTCACTACCATCCGTGTACTAGGGCCCTTCACTGGCCATCAGTGTACTATGACCCTTTACTAACCATCAGTGTCCTAGGGTCCTTCATTGGCCATGAATGTGCTAAGGTCCTTCACTGACCATTAGTGTGCTAAGATCCTTCAATGACCATCAGTGTACTAGGGTCCTTCACTTACCATCAATGTGTAAGGTCCTTCACTGATCATCAGTGTACTCGGACCCTTTACTAACCATCAGTATACTAGGGTCCTTCACTGACCATCAGTGTGCTAAAGTCCTTCAGTGGCTATCAATGTGCTAAGGTTCTTCACTGACCACCAGTGTTCTAAGACCTTTCGCTGACCCTGCACAGCTTGAGGATTAGGGTCAGCAAAGGCTGCCTAGTCTCCACTTCAACTTCCTCTATGTAATGGGGACTCTGATGTAAGGGGAACACTGATTGGGACCCTGATGTAAGAGGGGACTCTGATTGGGACTATGATATAAGGGCGTACTATGATGGGGATGTTTTTCAGCCTGCGAAGCTTTGTGAAATAGTTGGCCCTTATATTTGGAGACACCTGCTCTAGAGAGTGGATGAATGATAAGTCTTTATGTAGCCAGTATCATGTTCCCCTAACCCAGGGGAATATGGCACCATTGGTTGTACCCCCTCCAGGGGTCATAGAACTTGCCACCCCTGTGAAATCTAGGCAATTTAGGCCCTTCGAGTGGAGTAAGAACCTAAGGGAAGGTCTTCCTGTGGAAACTTTAACCCCGATGAAGATGTTTTTACTACATCTGTGTGGACAGTGACCTCTACTTATGCACTTTTGTGATCTTAAGGTAATGATGTTATTTTAGGAGGAGAAGGGGCTTGATTAAGGCTACAAAGAGGTTGCGAGTGCAGAGATGGTTGGGACAACTGGAGAAAGCTTTGGAGCCCGGAAAACCTGGATGTAATCAGCCAACATAGAGGACTTTATGTTAGGAAGCAGAAGTTTCCCAAGGGAAACCTGGAAAAGGGAAGAAAGATGAGTGGAGTTCTGTTCATGGGTGGCACTGGTGTAATGCCCATGAACCCAATGAGGTCCTGAGTGCGACCAACTGGAGAGGCAATCTGGAGAGGCATGTATTAGCCAACATGGTAGCTAAGTTGCATGAGACCAGAGAACCATGGATGTAATGTCCATGAACCCAATGAGCCAACCATCATGGCGGTCTTCATGTTAGAAATTAGCCAACATGGAGGTCTTCAGCAGAAGTTATCCCAAGGGAAGCCTGGAGAGGGGAAGAGAGATAAGTAGAGTACTGTTCATGGGTGGCACTGGTGTAATGCACATGAACCCAGTGAGATCCTAACCATGACCATCTAGAGAGACAATATGGAAGCTCAGTTGCATGAGAACAGCGAACCTGAATATAATCAGCCAACATAGAGAGAGTGCAGAGATGGTTGGGACAACTGGAGAAGCTTTGGGGCCTGGAGAACCTGGATGTAATTAGCCAACATAGAGGTCTTCATGTTAGGAAGCCGAAGTTTTCCCAACATGGAAAAGGGAAGAGAGATGAGTGGAGTTCTGTTCATGGGTGGCACTGGTGTAATGCCCATGAACCCAATGAGGTCCTGAGTGCGACCATCTGGAGAGGCAATATTGAAGCTCAGCTGCATGAGACCAGAGAACCTGGATGAAATTAGCCAACATGGAGGTCTTCATGTTAGGAAGCAGAAGTTATCCCAAGGGAAGCCTGGAGAGGGGAAGAGAGATGAGTGGAGTAGTGTTCATGGCTGGCACTGGTGTAATGCCCATGAACCCAGTGAGGTCCTAACCATGAACATCTAGGGAGACGATATGGAAGCTCAGTTGCATGAGAACAGAGAACCTGAATATAATCAGCCAACATAGAGTGCAGAGATGGTTGGGACAACTGGAGAAGCTTTGGGGCCTGGAGAAACTTGATGTAATTAGCCAACATAGAGGTCTTCATGTTAGGAAGCAGAAGTTTCCAAAGAGAAGCCTGAAGAAAGAAAGAGAGATTGGTGGTGTTCTGTTCATGGGTGGTACTAGTCCCATAAACCTAGAGAGGTCCTGTCCCTGAAGATCTGGAGAGGCAGTATAGAAACTCAGTTGCATGAGACCTAATGAGGTCCTGTCCATGGTGAAGGAACTCACATAGAGTTGGGCACACCAAGAGTGGAGTGTGGGCCCTTGATTTTGTGAGACCCATTTTGAGACCTGAAGTGAGCGGTGCCTGTAGAGAAGACTCTGAAGAAAACTGTCCACTGAGAAGACTTTCTTTGCTGCTTTGAGAATCCCTCTCTATATTGAGGCTTATTGTGGCATCTATATGGGCTTTCTAAATGTAACACTCTTTAACCCCTTTACATTGAGCCTGTGAACATATGTGGCCTCACTGAAGTGGATCTTCTTCACGGGGCCTCGTCTGTGTACCTGTCTTTGTGCGGGAGCATCCCAGCATGGAGATCAAGCTGTCAATGACCGCTTCGGGTCTTGTACTAATGATCGGGAAGCAGGAGGACCGGCTCTTCATCGCATGATAGCTGTGATTGCCTGTACAGCCCACCCCTATACACCTTTTCCTCTTGAATGGAGAAACATTTTTAAAAAGTAAAGATAAAATAGATCATGGTTCGATGTAGGTCAATGTCAGGGTCAAGGTTTGGGTCCATCAAAAACCTTTGTGACTTCCCTTTGAGGTCAGGAACGTGGTATGAGTAGGCTTCTGGTTATATGGAGGCAAGCCGTTATCTATGTGAGGGAATTTCGGATAGCCGGGATGGGCTAATCTCACATCTCGCTGTGTTATTTCGAGTTTGGCATTCCACAGAGTTTCTGGAATTACTCCCAGCTCACCGACTTTCCCAGAGCTCAGCATATATTACCAGGAGGGCACATTGCTTATCGATGCAAAAACTCCGCATTAAAGGGACTTTACCCTCTGCATTGTTTTCCCCATTTGGTTTTACTTGTAAAAAATGTGTGAATCTTGGATGAAAGTTTTGTGAACCTTTAATGAAAACGCATATAAGTAGACCCTCTAAGGTCTACTTTACCAGAGAGGTGGTAAAAATAGGTGGTTGACCTGTGGTTTTACTGCCCCCAACAGTCGTGGAGCTGCATGGCAAAATATATACAACAGGCCGTGTTTGGCAGGCAGTAATCACCGCCAATTACAGCCCATTCAAGTGCATGCTTGCCCACAGTGTTTATTCTTTTTCAAATGCCGCTTAATGCACTGACATAGCTCCTTAGACCCAGTCTGTATGGACTATATGGTCACCTGCTGACTTGGCAACCATCCACAGGCAGTTTGACTCTTCATTAAGACACGGAAGTTGAATCCAATGCAATTTTCCAGTCTTTTGAAGAGGACAGTGACTCTTCTGGGTGAATAACTAACACTGACTGAGAAAAAAACAGACAGGATCTAGCTTGGACTACACTAATAAGCCCTAAACAGGAGGGGAGGACAGAGGAAGATACCAAAATCACACCATAAACCAATTGCAGTGGCCCAAAACTGCCTGTAGATGTCAGCATACTCCAGAAAACCTAATATAGCTCAATACAACACAGACAAATTACATGACAGTGAGGCAGAGCAGTTATTCCCTTTCAGGCTGCAAAAAAGCAAAAAAAAAAAAAACCCAAAAAAAGGTATTCAGGAGGGAACAGTACCACCCCCTGAATGCCTGGCAACCACAGGTCTACCATAGTCTGAAAAGTGACCCGCCACAGATCACTTTTTAAAGAGTGTCGCTCATATAAAAGAGCCATAAATGTACCTGAAAAATCTGGTGAAATGTTGACCATGGCGGGTTGTTGAAGACCATTGGTGGTCACACGCTGTTTCTGTTTCAGGAAGATTTGCCAGCACTGTCAGTGCCGTTGGGAGGAACATGGCAGCTCGGCGCCTCCGCATGACCTGGAGCGTTCTCTGTGCCAGCTGGTTGGCGCACAACGGTTCTCCTCAGGTGAAAGCAGCTCAGATACGGCTTCGGAGAAGTACGCATGGGCACCTCCTGGGCTACCACCGGAACAGGTACTACCTTTATCAACCGCTATGATCAGTTCCTCCGGTTCCCCCAATAAAACAATGGGAATGCAAAATATGTATTGAAATTCTGGAAGACCGTGAATGGGGCTGGGTGTCACGATGGGGGATGGGGTTTCTGGAGGGGAGTTAGAGTACTCAACAGAAGACTTGATGAACCTGCAGGGGATGAGGTTTCTGGAGGGGAGTTAGAGTACTCAACAGAAGACTTGATGACCCTGCAGGGGATGAGGTTTCTGGAGGGGAGTTAGAGTACTCAGCAGAAGACTTGATGACCCTGCAGGGGATGAGGTTTCTGGAGGGGAGTTAGAGTACTCAACAGAAGACTTGATGACCCTGCAGGGGATGAGGTTTCTGGAGGGGAGTTAGAGTACTCAGCAGAAGACTTGATGACCCTGCAGGGGATGAGGTTTCTGGAGGAGGGGAGTTAGAGTACTCAACAGAAGACTTGATGACCTTGCAGGGGATGAGGTTTCTGGAGGGAGTTAGAGTACTCAACAGAAGACTTGATGACCCTGCAGGGGATGAGGTTTCTGGAGGGGAGTTAGAGTACTCAACAGAAGACTTGATGACCCTGCAGGGGATGAGGTTTCTGGAGGGGAGTTAGAGTACTCAGCAGAAGACTTGATGACCCTGCAGGGGATGAGGTTTCTGGAGGGGAGTTAGAGTACTCAACAGAAGACTTGATGACCCTGCAGGGGATGAGGTTTCTGGAGGGGAGTTAGAGTACTCAACAGAAGACTTGATGACCCTGCAGGGGATGAGGTTTCTGGAGGGAAGTTAGAGTACTCAACAGAAGACTTGATGACCCTGCAGGGGGATGAGGTTTCTGGAGGGGGCTGTGGAAAACTATGAGCAATAGGGGTCAATGGATGGGGCTTGGGGTCTTAACAGGAGTCTGCGGAATTTGGAGAGACACTGTGGTAGACTGGAGGGTGCTGCAGGTGCTGGGGGGTGGTTAGGGAAGTGGTGTGGGATACTCTTGGAGGGCACTATGGGGGGCTGGGTGCTCTGCAGTAGGCTGTGGAGCACTGTGGAACATTGGAGAGTACCATGGACAGTTTGGATGGCACTGTGGGGGTTGAGGGGCAGTGTGGGCTACTATGTGAGGTTTAGGGGGCACCATGTGAGCTGGGAGGTTAGAGGATCTTCAGCTGGTTGGAGGCCTGGTAAGAGGGAGTCTATGGCCCAGCAGAGGGCCATGGTTCGGTGTTTATCAGCAATACAACTATGTTTTCCGCATTTTATCCTAGGTCCACCAGTATTTCAGATGTCTACCAGAAGACAAGATCCCCTACATCCAAAGTCCAGGAGAGAGATACCGGCTGAGGCAACTCCTCCACCAACTGCCTCCACATGACAGCGAGGTGAGAACAATGGCCAAGCCAAGGCTTGGGGCAAGGTCCGGGATTCCTACTTCTCTAGGCCTGCTTGGTTCTTTGGGTCTATACTTTATCCTTCTCTTCTTTCCCTCCATCTCTTGGGCCCCTTCACACATTGGCATTGGAACGCGCTAAAATGCATGTTCACATCTATGAATTTCGCAACGTCATTGACCAAGCATGGTCATGTGGCCCTATTAGGTCAGTGATGTCACCAGTACCCCCGACCCTTTACCACAAGCGGCTTCCTCTGAGATTTACACAACCCTGTCACAGAGCCATGCCGGTCACCTGACTTTTCTCTACTGCAGGTCGACAATACAGCTTGGACCCCTTCCCATCCCCGGCCTGTGGTTGGACAATGCAGGAGCAGCAGAAGTCTTATTAGATCAACCCTCTGCTTTCTCCTTCTGTTGGCGTATTGCTTGCCAGCAGGGGCGGACTGACAACTCATGGGGCCCCCGGGCAATAGGGGATCATGGGGTCCCTGTGTCCTTGGCCAAACTCAAAAAAGCCTATGAAAAAGGTATCAGGGCATCTCATGGGGCCCCCTACTGACCCCGGGCCCTCGGGCAGTGCCGAGTTTCCAAATGGCCAGTCTGCCCCTGCTTGCCAGTGCGTGCGTATGCAGCAGAGATAACACGGCATAATTAAGGGTGTGGCTGTGCGTTCGTTCGTTTCGAATGGCACCCCAACGCGCAAAGGCAATACGGAAAAAAAAAAAACGGTGCCTGTCCAATTTTTTTCGGCACGCGAGGATGCGTTGGCAGCCCATTCATTTTACTTGGCTGCCTTAAAGTGGTTGTACATGAAATATGAACAAAGCACATCCCTCTGTAGTGTGTCCTTGCCTCAGTCCAGAGCACTAAGAGTCATTTCTGTCTGCTGCCTCCTTCCTCTGCTATCTCGAAGAGCCAGGACAAGTTTTCCCGACACCCAAGAGATAAAAAAAAAAGGTGACGGGGGAGGGAGCTCCAACACACAGCCTGTGATTGACAGCCTCAGCTCTGTTCCTGTGTGCTGTGTGAAGAGTGGTGTATATCCTTTCCAGGGTGGACTGACAACTCATGGGGGCCCTGGGCAATAGGGGATCATGGGGCCCCTGTGTTCCTCGCCCACACCCAAAAAAGCCTATGAAAAAGCCAATGAAAGGTACCAGGGGCATCTCATGGGGCCCCCTACTGAGCCCCGGGCCCTTGGGCAGTGCCCGAGTGCTTGAATGGTCAGTCCGCCCCTGATCCTTTCCCTCCAATCAATTTTCACTGAGCTCTGCGGAGTGTTACTTCGGCTCCCCGGAGCGCCAGGAGTACAGTTGGCTGTGCCGAGTTCAGTTCGAGGTGGAGTCGACCCGGGTTCCACCTGACCTGCTTTTGGATTGGTCTTCACTACTTACGCCTGCTGCCGACCTCGGCCCGGAGTGCTGACCTTCTACCCCGCTGCCTGCTCCTTGCTGACCTTTGCCTGGTCCTGCCCACGACTTGGTGTCTTCCTGCTGGGCTGCCACTAGACCAAGGGTGTCAAAGTGGTGGACCTCCAGCCAGGGGCAGACTGACCATTTGGAAACTCGGGCACTGCCCGAGGGCCCGGGGTCAGTAGGGGGCCCCATGAGATGCCCCCGGTACCTTTTTCATAGGCTTTTTTGAGTTTGGGCAGGACACAGGGGCCCCATGATCCCCTACTGCCTGGGGGCCCCATGAGTTGTCAGTCCGCCCCTGCCTCCAGCTGTTGCCAAACTACAAGTCCCATGAGGCATTGCAAGATTGACCATGACAAACATGACTCCCAAAGGCAGAGGCATGATGGGACTTGTAGTTTGGAAGGCCACCAGTTTGACACCCTTGGTCTAGTGGCAGCCGAGCAGGAAGACACCAAGTCGTGGGCAGGATCAGGCAAAGGTCAGCAAGGAGCAGGCAGCGGGGTAGAAGGTCAGCACTCTGGGCCGAGGTCGGCAGCAGGCGTAAGTAGAGAAGACCAATCCAAAAGCAGGTCAGGTGGAACCTGGGTCCATGATTGGATCAGAACGAGGATCAGGAGGACGGGAGCAAAACCAAAGACCATTCAGCAAAGAGCTTGTGTGTGAGTTCAGGTTGAAGTAGCCTGCTTTGGTGGCAATGTATGTGCGCGCACACGTATGACCATGCATGACATCATCTGTCTCCTTCCATTTCCACCCATCTAGCAGATCCTTCTCCTCGTCCTCCATCCTTCTGCTCCTTCTCAATGTCCTCCGCTTTTAGTTTCCCTTTTCTACGTTGCTTTTTGCACGGTTCTGTGGCAGACCCGGCCAGGGGCAGACTGACAACTCATAAGGCCCCCGGGCAATAGGGGATCATGGGGCCCCTGTGTCCTTGCCCAAACTCAAAAAAAGCCTATGAAAAAGGTACCAGGGGTATCTCATGGGGCCCCCTACTGACCCCGGGCCCTCGGGCAGTGCCCGTGTTTCTAAATGGTCAGTCCGCCCCTGGACCCGGCGCTGCTGTTTGTTCTATGCCAGGCCCTGATCCGCTGTTAGTTGTAAGCCGGTCCTGTCCCCAGGCCCGGTACTGCTGCTCTTTGCAGGGAGAGGAAGAGCAGGAGCTGCTGACGCTCTTCAGCCAAAAGCGGAAGCTGGAGAACCTCGGCCGTGGGGCGGCGCGCCCCGTCCCCAGAAACACGAATGGGACTGTGTGCAATAAGGTAAGAGAGTTCCTACTCCTAGCTTCAGATGATCATTAACACATCATCATGCATTTTATGAATGGGTTCACGCCACGGCCTGCATTTTGTGAATGGGTTCACGCCACGGCCTGCATTTTATGAATGGGTTCACGCCACGGCCTGCATTTTATGAATGGGTTCACGCCACGGCCTGCATTTTATGAATGGGTTCACGCCACGGCCTGCATTTTATGAATGGGTTCACGCCACGGCCTGCATTTTATGAATGGGTTCACGCCACGGCCTGCATTTTATGAATGGGTTCACGCCACGGCCTGCATTTTATGAATGGGTTCACGCCACGGCCTGCATTTTATGAATGGGTTCACGCCACGGCCTGCATTTTATGAATGGGTTCACGCCACGGCCTGCATTTTATGAATGGGTTCACTCCACGGCCTGCATTTTATGAATGGGTTCACGCCACGGCCTGCATTTTATGAATGGGTTCACGCCACGGCCTGCATTTTATGAATGGGTTCACTCCACGGCCTGCATTTTATGAATGGGTTCACACCACGGCCTGCATTTTATGAATGGGTTCACTCCACGGCCTGCATTTTATGAATGGGTTCACGCCACGGCCTGCATTGTATGAATGGGTTCACACCACGGCCTGCATTTTATGAATGGGTTCACACCACGGCCTGCATTTTATGAATGGATTCACACCACGGCCTGCATTTTATGAATGGGTTCACACCACGGCCTGCATTTTATGAATGGGTTCACACCGCAGCCAGCATTTTATGAATGGGTTCACACCGCAGCCAGCATTTTATGAATGGGTTCACACCACGGCCTGCATTTTATGAAAGATTTTACACCGCAGCCTGTATTTTATGAATGATTTCACACCACATGCATTTTATGTATCATTCACATCACAGTCTGTATTTTATAAATGATTCACATCACAGTCTGTATTTTATTATTGATTTCACACCACAGCCTGCATTTTATGAATGATTTCACACCACAGCCTGCATTTTATGAATGATTTCACACCACGGCCTGCATTTTATGAATGATTTCACACCACAGCCTGCATTTTATGAATGATTTCACACCACAGCTTGTATTCTATGAGTGACTTCTGAAATGCTCTAAATTTAGTAACAAATAAAACCAGACTTTTGAAAAAAATCTTTTATTGAACAAAAAACAAAACAAACATTTTTGACAAGTCCTTTATTTAACAAAAACAACAAAAAAAAAATGACTCCATCGTTGTAATCCAGCGTTGTCACACCGCAATAAAAAAAAACTGGTCTGCACCCGCCAAACACTTGTCGCAATCTGACATTTGCTGGTCAGATGTAAACATTTGGGCGGAGCTAGTGGTGACGTCACCACTGGCTCCGCCCAATTGTGCTTTGATTGGCCAAAGCATTGCACCTGGCCTGTGGTCAGGTGCATAGCTTTGGCCAATCACAATGCACCGTGAGAGCACCTACATTCGACTCGAACATCCAGGCCATCGCTAGTAAGCACCCAATAGCTGCAGCCAATCCCCAATCCCATAATGAAGGATGTTCACTAAACCCCACCCACGCAGAACTGAAATATCAGTTTTGGGTGGAGTTTGGCCTTTAATTGCGATGTACGCTGCAGCAATGAGTGTGGGAAGATCCATGATACTTTTTGCAGTTTGCACTGTTTTTTTTTTATATGTAAACAATTGGGTGGAGCTATGTCACCACTAGCTCCACCCAATTGTGCTTTGGGATGTTCACTAAACCCCACCCACGCAGAACAGAAATATCAGTTTTGGGTGGAGTCTGGCCTTTAAATGCGATGTTTTCTTATATTTGATGGTTGTGGATGAATCGTGTTGACGGGATCCCCCCCTTCTATCATCCTGCAGTGCGGTCATCAGATCGGCGGCGGTGACGTGGCGGTATTTGCGTCCAGGGCAGGCCTAGGCTCCTGCTGGCACCCTCAGTGCTTCACGTGCGCCCGCTGCTCGGAGCTCCTGTGCGACCTCATCTACTTCTATCAGAACGGACAAATGTACTGCGGCCGTCACCACGCTGAGCTTCAGCGACCGCGCTGCTCGGCGTGCGATGAGGTGAGTGTGAAAGATTTCAACCGGATGCGAAAGAAATTTGAAATGTATCAGGGATCAGGGAAAGCAGTCCTTAAAGCGCAAAGAGGCAGACATGAGCCTCTTTGTGGCTGCACAGAGAAGCACAGGATCTGGAGGAGGAGTTCTGTCCTCCTCTCTGCTGTCAATTACTTTGACAAGGAGGGGGCAGACGTGAGCCTCTTCATGGCTCCACAGAGGAGCACAGGATCTGGAGGAGGAGTTCTGTCCTCCTCTCTGCTGTCAATTACTTTGACAGAGGGGGGGGGGGCAGACCTGAGCCTCTCCGTAGCTGCACAGCTGCACAGAGAAGCACAGGATCTGGAGGAGTTCTGTCCTCCTCTCTGCTGTCAATTACTGAGAGAAGTGGGGAGGGCAGACATGAGCCTCTTCGTGGCTGCAGAGAGAAGTACAGGATCTGGCGGAGGAGTTCTGTCCTCCTCTCTGCTGTCAATTAATTTGACAAGGGGGGGGCATACGTGAGCCTCTTCGTGGCTGCACAGAGAAGCACAGGATCTGGTGGAGGAGTTCTCTCCTCCTCTCTGCTGTCAATTACTTTGACAAGGGGGGGGGGCAGACCTGAGCCTCTCCGTAGCTGCACAGAGAAGCACAGGATCTGGAGGAGTTTTGTCCTCCTCTCTGCTGTCAATTACTGAGAGAAAGTGACGAGGGGGGGGGGGGGAGCAGACATGAGCCTCTTCGTGGCTGCAGAGAGAAGCACAGGATCTGGAGGAGGAGTTTTGTCCTCCTCTCTGCTGTCAATTGCTTTGATGAGGGGGGCAGACATGAGCCTCTTCGTGGCTGCACAGAAAAACACAGGATCTGGAGGAGTTCTGTCTTCCTCTCTGCTGTCAATTACTTTGACAAGGAGGGGGCAGACGTGAGCCTCTTCATGGCTCCACAGAGGAGCACAGGATCTGGAGGAGGAGTTCTGTCCTCCTCTCTGCTGTCAATTACTTTGACAGAGGGGGGGGGGCAGACCTGAGCCTCTCCGTAGCTGCACAGCTGCACAGAGAAGCACAGGATCTGGAGGAGTTCTGTCCTCCTCTCTGCTGTCAATTACTGAGAGAAGTGGGGAGGGCAGACATGAGCCTCTTCGTGGCTGCAGAGAGAAGTACAGGATCTGGCGGAGGAGTTCTCTCCTCCTCTCTGCTGTCAATTAATTTGACAAGGGGGGGGCATACGTGAGCCTCTTCGTGGCTGCACAGAGAAGCACAGGATCTGGTGGAGGAGTTCTCTCCTCCTCTCTGCTGTCAATTACTTTGACAAGGGGGGGGGGCAGACCTGAGCCTCTCCGTAGCTGCACAGAGAAGCACAGGATCTGGAGGAGTTCTGTCCTCCTCTCTGCTGTCAATTACTGAGAGAAGTGACGAGGGGGGGGGGGGGAGCAGACATGAGCCTCTTCGTGGCTGCAGAGAGAAGCACAGGATCTGGAGGAGGAGTTTTGTCCTCCTCTCTGCTGTCAATTGCTTTGATGAGGGGGGCAGACATGAGCCTCTTCGTGGCTGCACAGAAAAACACAGGATCTGGAGGAGTTCTGTCTTCCTCTCTGCTGTCAATTACTTTGACGATCGGGGGGTTCGTCTTTAATCTCTAGTCTATAGCCCGTAAATCGTCTACTTTTTTTTTCTCTCTTTCAGGTGATCTTCTCGGGGGAGTGCACCCAAGCCGAGGGCTACCACTGGCACACTCGCCACTTTTGCTGCTTTGAGTGTGAATGCGCCCTGGTAGGACAGCGCTACATAATGAAAGAGCGGAGGCCGTACTGCTGCCCGTGCTATGAGAGGCTCTTCTCGCAGTACTGCGACAGCTGCGGGGAAAGCATTGGTAAGGAAAGGCTGCTTCGTACCGAAGTAATGGCGTCAGAAGCTGTTTATGGTCATATTGAGCCAAAGAAATACAGAAAAGTGCACCGGACCAAAAACAGGATCATTTTAATTTATACAAATAATATGCTCAGTGATAGTAATAAATAATGACCCTTATCCCCAATTAGTGCATATAAATCAAAAAAGTCCTAAATCCAATAGTCCAAAAGTTTATGAAAACCAATGTCCCTTAAAAATCAAAAATTATGTCCAAAAATTGTCCACAAAGTGATAAACTCTTCAAAGTCTTGTAAAAGCTTGGTTTACCTCAAACAAAACAGAAATAGAAACCACATAGTGCATTATCCTTAGTATATATACATCATATAACTCATCCAGTGATACTTCACCAAAGTGAAACAAAAGGTGTAAACAGCAAACGTGTGCCAATACACTATATATAGTGAAGAGCCGTGTAGGTGAATCACTCTTTAAAGTGCTTAGAACACACACATAAATCACGTCTACTGCAGTAAGGAGTGAATACCCTTACCAATATGTATATCACTTTAGGCCTTAGATAATAATCCCCAAGTTGACTGTGTGATGGGACGAATGATATTCGGCCAGTATCCTCACTTTCACCTCCTCATACTCCAATGTGGATCCATCCACACTAGTTACTCAGACCAGTTTCATCATAACCACCATCCCGATATCGATATATATATATACACAAAGAAATATATAGTATAATACCGCCACACACTCGGATCACAAATTTTAATGGCGCTGCTTACAATATAAAATCTTTCTTATCGCATGTTTGAAAGTATGAAAAACCTTAATGCCGTCCGTCTAGGAGAGTCCAAACCGCTACAAACAGTCTTTCTTCCACTCTCCAAGATGGCCGCCGCTCAACTTCCGGTTCCTCGTTTGCGTCTGACGTCACTTCCCGCTGACGCGTTTCGTCATTGGACGTAATCATAAATCGTAATCATCGTAATCATAAAAATCATAAAATACACCCTTTATGATTACGTCCAATGACGAAACGCGTCAGAGGGAAGTGACGTCAGACGCAAACGAGGAACCGGAAGTTGAGCGGCGGCCATCTTGGAGAGTGGAAGAAAGACTGTTTGTAGCGGTTTGGACTCTCCTAGACGGACGGCATTAAGGTTTTTCATACTTTCAAACATGCGATAAGAAAGATTTTATATTGTAAGCAGCGCCATTAAAATTTGTGATCCGAGTGTGTGGCGGTATTATACTATATATTTCTTTGTGTATATATATATATATCGATATCGGGATGGCGGTTATGATGAAACTGGTCTGAGTAACTAGTGTGGATGGATCCACATTGGAGTATGAGGAGGTGAAAGTGAGGATACTGGCCGAATATCATTCGTCCCATCACACAGTCAACTTGGGGATTATTATCGAAGGCCTAAAGTGATATACATATTGGTAAGGGTATTCACTCCTTACTGCAGTAGACGTGATTTATGTGTGTGTTCTAAGCACTTTAAAGAGTGATTCACCTACACGGCTCTTCACTATATATAGTGTATTGGCACACGTTTGCTGTTTACACCTTTTGTTTCACTTTGGTGAAGTATCACTGGATGAGTTATATGATGTATATATACTAAGGATAATGCACTATGTGGTTTCTATTTCTGTTTTGTTTGAGGTAAACCAAGCTTTTACAAGACTTTGAAGAGTTTATCACTTTGTGGACAATTTTTGGACATAATTTTTGATTTTTAAGGGACATTGGTTTTCATAAACTTTTGGACTATTGGATTTAGGACTTTTTTGATTTATATGCACTAATTGGGGATAAGGGTCATTATTTATTACTATCACTGAGCATATTATTTGTATATTTTGTACACCTCTAAGGGTAGGGGTGAAGTGTGCTGATACGGGATCTTTTTGTTTAGAGTGATTTACTAATATTAGGATCATTTTAATTGTTGGTAAATAAGTCATGTAAGCGCGGCCGACGCGTTTCGGGAGGCAACGCCACTCCCCCTTCACCAGGGCTCAGCACAGGAGCGTTTCAGGACGCAGGGCCGACGCGTTTCAGGGGAAACAACACTTCCCCTTCATCAGGATAGGACTTGGAAGAATGGCAGTAGCGGAGCCTCCTGAGTCCATCCTGTGTTGATCCCTGATGAAGGAGGAGTGGTGTTGCCCCTGAAACGCATTAACTGTTTTTATAGGACTTCAGTCAGCATACCATTTTGGAACCATTTGTGATGATGGCCCCTTGGCTATTAGGAATGGTCAGGGGGCCGACGCATTTCAGGGGCAACACCACTCCCCCTTCATCAGGATAGGACTTGCATGGATGGCAATAATGGAGCCTCCTGAGTCCATCCTGTGTTGAGCCCTGATGAAGGAGGAGTGGTGTTGCCCCCGAAATGCACTGAAGGTTTTTATATGACTTGTTTACCAACAGCTAAAATGATCCTAGACCTGAAAATGGTCTTAGCGTTTTGGAACCATTTGTGATGATGGCCCCTTAGCTATTAGGAAAGGTCAGGGGGCCGACGCGTTTCAGGGGCAACACCACACCCCCTTCATTAGGATAGGACTTGGATGGATGGCAATGACGGAGCCTCCTGAGTCCATCCTGTGTTGAGCCCTGATGAAGGAGGTGTGGTGTTGCCTCTGAAACGCATTGACTGTTTTTATAGGACTTCAGTCAGCATACCATTTTGGAACCATTTGTGATGATGGGCCTTTGGCTATTAGGAAAGGTCAGGGGCCCGACGCGTTTCAGGGGCAACACCACTCCCCCTTCATTAGGATAGGACTTGGATGGATGGATGGCAATAATGGAGCCTCCTGAGTCCATCCTGTGTTAAGCCTTGATGAAGGAGGAATGGTGTTGCCCCTGAAACTCACTGACTGTTTTTATAGGACTTCAGTCAGCATACCATTTTGGAACCATTTGTGATGATGGGCCTTTGGCTATTAGGAAAGGTCAGGGGGCCGACGCGTTTCAGGGGCAACACCAACTCCACCTTATAATTAGACACACCCAGCCACGTTATATATGGTCTGTCCCAAGCTCTGTAACTGTCACTTGTGCTGAATGGCTTGGCCTGTTACAGGAAGTGGAAAAGTAATGGATCTACTGGCAGGATCAATGGGTGATACAATAGTGAGGGTGATATTTCCCTTTGACTGCTCTTACTGATAAGAACCCTTTCCCAGCCCGCAGATTACTTCTACTTTATGCATATTATAATTCTAGTGACTTTTCGGTGATTATTCTAGCACTGCTCTTGCCTTTAGGTGTGTGAAGAAGGTCAGTTATCACATGGAGCACAGCACTGGCACGCGTCGGAACGCTGCTTTTGCTGCGGAAGGTGTGGAAGTTCCCTCCTTGGTAAACCCTTCCTACCACGCCATGGCCAGATTTATTGCTCCCGGGCCTGCAGCCTGGCGCGAGCAAGCAGCGAACGTTCCATCAGCCCCGCGCAGTCAGAGGTTTCTCCACGTAAAGAGACGAGAGATATTGGCACTTCTACAAACATCGACCCGGAAGGGGACAGCTTCGGGGAGAGAAGAATGGGAGGAGGAAGGAGGTCCATGTCCATGATTGACCAGTCTCGGACACCACAGACATGCCATTCGCATATGCCACCTGTGAGGTCCATACACTCCAGTATGAGGGGGCCTCCACCTCACTTCACCAGGGAATCGGCCCAAAGACGTTCTCTACCGGACCTTCGAAGTCAAAACCGGACAGGTCCACGGGTCACATTCAGTATACCTCTCAGTACTGAACTCAAAGAACCCATAAGGTTCACCTACCCATCATTCACTTCCTCATCCTCCTCCTCTTCAGACGATGAAGATGATGGGTACTTCTTAGGAGAACCCATCCCTTTACCTGCTTTCATGAGGCCTCCTGGATACCCTGTACCTCCAGTGCCAGCTCCATCACCAAAGAAGAAGGACAAGAACTGCAGCCTGTCCTGACCCCCCAAAAAGCAAGGAGCCCATCAACCATCATCTCAATACTTCATTTATAAAGTCTGTCCAGCCAAAACATTGGAACTTCTGAAGGGTTTTTACTAAAATCTGGAGTTCCGAGGTTTCTCCTCGTTTCCTGTCCTGATGGGAATGGTTTCACTAGACAGGAAATGGTGGTAAATCTCCAACAGCAACACAGAGAGGAAGGGAAGGCTAGAACCCCTGGAATCTTTGTATTGTTGGTAGGATATTGGGAGAACGAGAGCACCACACCAATTGGTTCAGTCCAGTATGAGTATTTATTTCAGATACGATATAAAAGTGATAAATTCCGACGTGTTTCAATGGTGTACAAATCCCCCTTCATCAGGGCAATGATAACACAAAGTAGTATATAAAAAGACTAAACAATATATATATGTCACAGAGGTATCCTAACAGCTCTTTTTCAACAGGGGTTACCCTGAAGGAGTCCCCAACTTTGAACCCCACAAAACGCATTGGATTTTTATATCATAAATTACCCATACTGGACTGAACTAATCGCTGTGGTACTCTTTCTTCCAATATCCCACCCAACAGCTTCGAAGGCTCCTTTGGGGTATCCCCTGTCCATAGAGAGCTAGTTAGGATACCCCTATTGACAAAGAGTGTGGATATTTTTTATTAGATACGATGTAAAGATCAAAAAGCCAACGTGTTTCGGGAGTTCACAAATCCCCCTTCCTCAGGGCTAGAAACTGGAAAACATAATAGAACAAATACGTATGTAAAAGACTCAAGAGTGTCTATATGGAAGAAAAATATATTTGAAATATATTTGAAAAATATTCTTTCCAAATATATTGATATATATTTGAAACGATACAATTTTGGCCGTATTCAATATATGTCAATAAATTAAAAAAAAAAAATTAAAAAATAATAATAATATATTCCTTTACAATCTAAAGGAAGGTATATATATTTATATATCTCTATATCTAGATATCTATATATCTCTATATATATATCCCTTCCTTTAGATTGTAAGCTCCATGAGCAGGGCCCTCCTATTCCTTCTGTACTGAAATGTATTGTAATTGTACTGTCTCCCGTTATATTGTAAAGTGCTGCGCAAACTGTTGGCGCCATAAATCCTGTATAATAATAATAATATACACACACTAGCTATATATAAATAAATAAATATATATATATATATACACACACACACACACACACACATACATACATACACATACATACATACACACACTGCATGTTGAGATGCGTTTTTATTACAAAATATATGAAAAAATATTTTTAAAAATACATTTCAAATATACTGTATGTCTTTAAAAATACAAAATCTACATTTTTGGAATGCATTTACAAATATATGTAAAAATATATGTTAAAATGACTTTTTTTATATGTTAACAAAAAATCTGAAGAATATATTTTAAAAAATATATATATTTTCTTCATTTTTTTTAACATATAAAAAAGTCATTTTAAACATTATAATGCATTACAAAAATGAAGATTTGTATTTTTAAAGACATACAAAATAAAAAAAAAATTTTTAAAAATACATTTCAAATAAACGGTCATAAAAACGCATTTTCAACACGCAGTGTGTATATATATATATATTTATTAAAACATATTTTGAAATATATTGAATATGGTCAAAATTGTGGCATTTCAAATATATGTCAATATATTTGGGAAGAATATTTTTAAAATATATATTTCAAATATATTTTTCTTCCATGTGGGTATGTATATATACCGTGTGTGTGTGTGTGTATGGTGTGTGTGTGTTTGTTGTAGTTATTAATTATATATATATATATTTATTTATATATTATTAATTTTATAATATATCTATATATTATTATATAATATATATATATTTATATAATATTATATATATATATATATATTTATTATATTTATAAATTATATATATATATATATATATATGTGTATATATATATATATATATATATATATATATATATATATATATTATAATTGTTGATATATATATATAAAATTATATATATGATATATATCTATTTAATCCGAAACGCATCAATATTTTATTTTATATATATTATAATAATATATATATATATATAATTTTTATATATATATCGCTATTATATATATATATTTATATATATTATATATATTTATATATATATAATGTATATATTATATTATAATATTTATATATTATAATTATATTTATATATATTATGTGATTATATTATAATTATATAATTATATATATATATATATTTATATATATTATAATTATATATATATATATATTATATATATTATATATTTATAATAGTTTATATATATTATATATATATATTATATATATATATATTTATATATATTATATATTATATATATATATATATTTATATATATTTATAATTATATATATATATATATTTATATTAATATATATTTATATTATATATATATAATATTATATATATTAATAATTATATATATATATATATATATTATAATTATATATATATATATATATATAATATATATATTATAATTATATTATATATATATTTGTATATATATTATAATGTGATATAAGGGGTTCCTATGAATTATAAACAATCAATTTTATTTTATTATATTATATCTATATATTATTTATCCCGATATCGCTTCTATGGCTATTCTTGATATTTGGATAAAAGTTGCATAATACAAGTCCGCAGCTATTTCAATGGAAGCGCGTTATACTTTTAAAGTGCCCAAAGTTGCATAGTATAGGAAATTTTGAAAGTTTGATCCACAAAATTGTATGGAGTTCGTGAGAACACACATCTTGATATTATACATATTTTACACGTGTTTAGCTATTCTATATGTTGGTAAATGTGATATATTATAATCTATATATAATGCCGTCTTATCATTCTACTTTTATTATGTTATATCGTATTTTATGTATGCAGAATTTTCCTTATACCTCCTGTTGTCACTTAGAGGAAAAGTCTTACTATATAATAGGTTTTATATTGGCATTAGCCTCATATAGCCCATGGGTAGGATTCTATCGCACAATTGGCTGGAATACACTTATATATACGACAGCTGTCCAGGTATTACATTATACAGGAGCTATGCATGCTACATTCAATCTTACCTGGAAATCTGTCCACAATTGGTATTGGATGATGGGCTATAGGAAATGGAAAAAAAAGCAACGGTGTCTTCTACCTACACGCATACAGTTGTGAGATCTATATAGGTGGCCCATATCTGAAGTTCATGACGTCTGGTCTTCTGATTGTAACGGGTCCCAGTCGAACCTTCCAGGTAACAATGTCTTACAATCATTCTTTTTTTTCCTTCAGAGGACCCAAAGTGGTAATGGAGGTCGCAGGTAGAGTTGGCATTCACCATGTTCTTATCCTCTCTGAGGTCCACGTGACTTAGGAGATATCAGCCAGAGGTTGGCATGCACCAGTCACTTATGACTCTGTGAGTCCCAAGTGTAGGAGTACACAATTGTGAGGTGGCATGCACGGTTCTTATGAATGAGGTCCATGGTAGGAGTATCAGGTAAGGTGGCATGCACAGGTTCTTATGCCTCTATGAGGTCCCAGTGGTAGGAGGTTCTAGGTAGAGGTGGCCGCATGCACCAGGTTCTTACGCCTCTCTGAGGTCCCAGTGGTAGGAGGTTATCAGGTGAGGTGATGGCACCAGGTCCTTATGACTCTGTGACTGGTCCCATGGTAGGAGGTATCAGGTAGATGGTGGACAAGCAACAGGTTTTTTATTTCCTCCTATGAGGTCCCAGTGGTAGGAGGTATCAGGTATGTGGGTGCATGCACCAGGTTCTTATGACTCTGGGTCCCAGTGGTAGGAGATATCAGGTAGAGGTGGCACATGCACCAGGTTCTTATGCCTCTATGAAGGTCCCAGTGGTAGGAGGTATCAGGTAGAGGTGGCATGCACCAGGTTCCTTCTACTGACATGCCTCTGTGAGGTCCCAGTGGTTAGAAGTAATCAGGTAGAGGTGGCATGCACCAGGTTCTTATGACTCTGAGGTCCCAGTGGTAGGAGATATCAGGTAGAGGTGGCATGCACAGGTTCTTATGCCTCTGTGAGGTCCCAGTGGTAGGAGATATCAGGTAGAGGTGGCATGCACCAGGTTCTTATGCCTCTGTGAGGTCCCAGTGGTAGGAGATATCAGGTAGAGGTGGCATGCACCAGGTTCTTATGCCTCTATGAGGTCCCAGTGGTAGGAGATATCAGGTATCAGGTAGAGGTGGCATGCACCAGGTTCTTATGACTCTGTGAGGTCCCAGTGGTAGGAGATATCAGGTAGAGGTGGCATGCACAGGTTTCTATGCCTTATGTGAGGTCCCAGTGGTGGAGATATCAGGTAGAGGTCCACCAGGTTCTTATGGTGATTTCCCAGTGGTAGGAGGTATCAGGTAGAGGTGGCATGCACCAGGTTCTTATGACTCTGTGAGGTGTGGTAGGAGATATCTAGAGGTGGCATGCACCAGGTTCTTATGACTCTGTGGTCCCAGTGGTAGGAGGTATCAGGTAGAGGTGGCATGCACCAGATCCTTATGACTCTATGAGGTCCCAGTGGTAGGAGGTATCAAATAGAGGTGGCATGCACCAGGTTCTTATTGCTCTGAGGTCCCAGTGTAGGAGGTATCAGGTAGAGGTGGCATGCACCATGTTCTCTTATGCCTCTGTGAGGTCCCAGTGGTAGGAAGTATCAGGTAGAGGTGGCATGCACCAGGTTCTTATGACTCTGTGAGGTCCCAGTGGTAGGAGGTATCAGGTAGAGGTTGCATGCACCAGGTTCCTATGCCTCTATGAGGGTCCCAGTGGTAGGAGGTATCAGGTAGAGGAAGCATGCACCAGGTTCTTATGACTATGAGGTCCCAGTGGTAGGAGATATCAGGTAGAGGCAGGGGTGGACTGACAACTCATGGGCCCCCGGGCAATAG